AAGCACTGTACGACGAGGACTTGGTTATTACAGCTGACATTGATCATCATAATAATAATAGTATACTTGCATCCATCAGATAAGTGTTTACGCCAAAGATCTACAGTGCCCGGTTACCCGTATAATAATAGAACCATGGTTTAAAGAAGTTGACAAGAAGTTGACATTCATTCATAAATTGCGACTATTCATGTGAATGCTTGATCAAGATGAAGGACCTCCAATACGGGAAACTTAACTGAGACGCACAAAGAATCTAGTTGGGTTACAAAACGACACCAGCTTGAATGACAATATGGTGGTCTGTTCAGATTTTTGTTTTTCTTTCAAAAGCCAATCTTTTTAAATTTGTCACTACGGACTGTAGCCATGAATTCGTTTCCTCACAGCTTAGCGCATCCCATCAGTATCAGCTGTAAATACGACAGATGGACCGTTGCAACTGGTCGAATGCGTTCTTGCGTGACCCATGAATCATATGGTCACGCGAATGAGTGCGATGACACAAAACCACTTTATGCATGTCAGTGAACACGAGCAGGTACCTTGATCAGTTGCACTGACTGACGATTCCAGTATAGTTGCTGTTTCACACAGAAGATGCTCGAAACATCTGGTGTGATGACAGACAGTTGTGTCCGTCACGTCGGGACAAAGAGACTGGGAAGAGGTTAATTGAACCTGCTAAAGAGGAAATCATACAAAGGTTTAAAGGTTTACGAAATGCTCGGCCTGACTAACTCATTTGAAACAGATGGTAACAAATACCAGCCACCATTGGGATGGATTCATTGAGCTATTTATCCGACGCTTTACACTATAGTATGTGAGTTGGTAACTGTAAAATGAAGGAACAATAAACTCGCAGTGATAGTTGGGCTGATGAATTCATCGGTAATGGGGCACTAGTATGGATGATTTATTGATAGGAATTTTATTTGGCGGTTGGTGCTGACTATTTATATGAAGCCCATATTTCTTCACCTGGTCTTCAATCCACAGCTCGACTAAAGACGAAGGAATTTCTGTTGCACTATCGTTCTCACATTTCTAATTGAACTATCGTTATGGATGCTTTTACGGTACCATATGCTTTCAGCTCATTGTGTGCTCAGTTGTGTGAATGAACTGTACTTACTAACGAATATGTCGCGGTGCAAAAGCTCTTCAGCTGGGATTTAGGGTCTGCAGGTTGTTTATTTTATTTCTTGATCACACTTTGTGGCTGAAATCAACCTATTCTGGAAAACTGGGGCGCAGATGACTGTCAAACGGAAGTGAACAAATGTCTCATGCTCACCATCTCCAAGCGCCTCAGTATGACTGGGCTTGATGACCTCAGAAACGAGCAATGTCTTCTGTTTTATCCTGTGATCCACTACCTTGCATCCTGCGCTGAGGAATTCTCACTCATTTCCTTCTCCTGGTGTTGATTTTACCGAAGCAAAATGAATATTGCGGATATCAGGCGCTATAAAATGGTGTATAGTTCACTGTTTGTTCGTCTAGAGGAGCTGGTTAAGTCCTGATTTCAAACAAACAAACGCAAGAATATAAATCAGTTCCAGTGGAACAGGCGCAGGGGAATACTGGCTGCGTCTAAAGACCACGTTGGTGTTGCTGCTCACCTGTCTTCCACACATTGTACACTGCTATTCAAATTGCACCGGCTTTGAAAAGACTATAGGTGCAGCTCTGATCAAAAGCTCGGTGGCGCTGGGAACGCAACCTATAAAACAAAAAGACAACAGCAACCTGCATCACAAAATCGGTTGATATCAGCGCGCTCCGGCGAAAGACCGCTGAACTAGCCAGGATCGAACTTGGCATCAGACATGCAAGCCATTCCGAAAGTTGGTTACTTGGGCAAAAGTTTCCATTCAGACATGTGGCCTCGGG